GTAATGAAAATGGACTCCGTCTTTTTAGTCGTCCTCCGCCTACTGCTAATTGAAATTAATAAATCCACATCATATGACATGTCATATTGTGGCATGGCATTTCTGTTATGTCCCCCTCTCTCTCATGTAGATTCTGTCGCCTTCTTCCCCAATCTCTAAACTTTGAATTTTTCCATCGCCTTCCTTGGTAGGGCACGTCGAGTGCTCGGCGGCGGCTCTTCTGGGCCCCGCAACTCGCCACTGAGAGATGCGCTGCTGGAGGGAGCCTTTTCGCCGGGGTGAAGCTGGCGACGTCCTCCGGTTTCAAGCCTCCGGTGCCGGAAATGAGTGGAGGATGTTTTGTTCTCCTCCGGTATCTCCGCTGCAGCGGACTTCGGCAATCTCTTGGAATGAGCTGCGACCCCAAATTCCCGATTTAGGGTTTGGAGTGCAGTTAGGGTTTTGACCAATTGGCTTCTCCGGGTCCTGGTTCAGAGCTTGGTGGCCAGCGGTTGAAGGGAGGGTGCTTATCCTTGGCCTCGCGATCGTCGATCGGGTGGGTGTGGAGCTTTGGAGTAGCATCTGCCTGAGATCGTATGGCTGGGCTCCTAGGCTGGTTGGGGCTGGTTTGGGATTGTCTGGGCTGGGCTTCTTCGGGTTGGTTTGGGCTCGCTTGAGTTGCTATGGGCTGGGCTCAGCTGGGTCGGGTTTGGGCTGGGCCGGGTTGGGCTGGTTGGCCAGGTGTCTTTGTCTCCGGGTGTCGGTGGAGTTGTTCGTCTGAACGAAGGTAAGGTCCGTAGATTCTTGATTCAGTTAGGCGTTCTCTTGTAGTTTCTGGGTCAGGATCCTGGACCGAGACTTTGTCGTTGTTGTGCTCGAAGTGATTTTCTGCTGTGGGAAGGGCTCCCGTTTATTTTGTTTATGTTGTTATTTTGGTTGGTCTTCGTTTCTGTTATTAGTGTTGTTTAGGATTGTGTTTTTGGTCTGGGCCGTTGGTCCCGGTTAGCCAGAGTGTTACCTTATTCTCCTGTTGGGAGTCGACACTCGGGTATTATATTACCACTGTTGGGGTCTTTTTAGTTTAGTAGTTTTTGTGTGTTAGTGTTTTTTGTGTTAGCGAGTATTACCCCGTTGGGGTCGGCTCAGGCGGTCCTTGACTGTCCTCGCACTTTATTCGGATGTTGACTGTTCATATACGGCTGTTAGCTGTTTGCATTCAGCCCGTGGCTACTCTTTTGTACTTTTGTTCGATTATATATAATATTTCTATTGTTTCGAAAAAAATAAAATTAATAAATGTATTCATTATGGTATAAAGTGGGTGATTTTATTTTGACATTAAATGTCCGAACTTTAATGATATCAATTTTATTTGGTAGGGATAGAAGTGTATTTATAATTTTGAAAACAAGATAAGTTGTATGGATTTTTTTGGGTATATGTATGAAAGTAGAATTTTAGGTTGAATTATTATAAAATCAAAGTGATATGATTCTCAAATTTTAGCATATTTCATAATAATTTGCCTTAAGATATTGATGATAATTCAACAAATTAGTATGCATTGTTCTTGAAAATAGAATGATATTTGAACAAATATTGGTTAATAAAATTTAAAATTTGTAATTTAATTTTAGAGAATCAGGTGATAAATTTGAAGGATAAGATAACTGACAATAAATCAAAAAATTACGAGATATATAAGGGAATTTATTGTGTAATTCAAATTTTAGATGTAAATGCGGCCCTACAGCATTAAATGCCGTCGAATCTCCTCAAAAAACGAGCCGAAAATTTCTATAAATACCAGCATTTAATTAGATACGAGGACCTTTTTTCGACACATTGAATTATGGCATTAATCACCTCGATTACAAGAAAACCTGTTGTAAATATATTTTACCGGAGTAGAATCGAAAGATTCGGACACCGGGTCGTGTCTCTCGAGGAAGGTCAGCCGGATTATTTTGTACGATTATTCAAACACAAAAATGGAAAATAAAAGGAATGAAAATCCTAAACATTCTAAGTCAAAGATTGGTTGGTTTTTAATATCAACTACTGCAAATAATTTAAATAAAGCAAGTAAATAGCAAACAGGCACGTAGAACAATTAAGATTAAACGAAACTAGGGAGTCGGGGATATCCGCCTTGGTTCGAGATGCAACTAAAGACCAAGTGATTGTTCGGCCAAGAAATCCGAATAATCTACCTAATCAAACATTCATTCTCAATAACTTTTCGTAACAAGAGAATAAACTAGACCGGCAAATTAACGAGTCAATTAACTCCTAAGCAATACAGTTACGAACAAGCCTAGTTCATGCGAATCCATTTCAACCGACTCCTCCCCTTTCGGTTCTAAGAGTCGATTAACTTAGACTAGAAGATGATTAATCAACTAGTCGATATCGGATTAACAAAATCACACAAGAACGAATCAAATTCAATTAAATAATTGCAAATCGAAGTGTCACCCTTCAATAATTCTCAACATTCAAGCATAAATCGAAAACCCTAATTAAGCATGAATCGCATAAAAGTGAACAATCTAGGGCCCGACAATCACACACGAATTCAAAGCATCGATCCCCTATTCCCTAGCAATTAATTTAGCTATTCATAATCGAATCAACAATCGTAGTCATCACAATCGAAAAATTCATACTCATTAATTAAATGAAACGAAAATCTTACGATTGATGAAAGCCGAGAATTGAATCCAATAGACAAGCTTGAATCCAAAATAAATAGCGAAATCCGGAATCGAAACGTGTTCTCCGTCGAAAATTATTAAAAGAAAAGTAATAAAACTAGTTCGGAAAAAGAAGAAAAGAACCAGCCCCCCCCAAATTAAACCTAGGCTGCTCAGTTTTTTAAAAAAAACGAACGCCGCCCTTCAAAACACAAAATCTGCTTATACATAAAATCTGGAAACGTGCAAGTCGCGGCCGCGGAAAGGCCCGTGGGCCGCGGCGATAGGAAGCTCCGCGGCCGCGAGAAGTCCCACGGCCGCGAGATTTCGGCTCTGAAGTTCTGGAGCTTGGGACCTATTTTTGGTCGCCGCGGCCGCGGAGAAGAGGAAGTCGCGGCCGCGGGAGGAGGATCTGAGCGCGACGGGAAAAAAAACGCAGGGTGCTTGTCGAGTTGCTGCGCAAGGGTCGCCGGAAGTGGTGGTCGCGGCGGCGCGAGGGGGAGGAGCAGCGGCTCGTGGGGAAGAGAATTACGCTGGGACTCACCGACTTTATTCGGCCCTCCGACGGAACACGACGGGATTCAACGGCTACACTCGACACTCCGACAGGACTCGACGGGACCCGACGGCTAAGAACGGTGGTCCGGCGCGGTGCCGTCTCGCGGCGTGGTGCAGAGCTGTGTGATGGTGTGAAGGGCTGCTTGTTGCGGCGAAGATGGAGGTGTTGTCGGAGTGTAGTGCGCGGGAGATGGAAGTGTGCCGTGGAAATGCAGTCGGTGGCACGGCGAGGAGGAGCAACAGCTTGTAGTGGCATGAGGTTGTCTTGCAATGGGGATGGTTATTCTCGCCGTGCAGATGGGGTCACGCGGTGGTGTTGCTGGAATTGAAGGCACGGGCTGCGGGAGAGAAGATCCGCCGTGGGTTTTCTGAACGTGGTGTAGGTGCGAGTGCGAGTGCGAGGTGGGGCGTGGAGAATCTCTGTCCTCGCCGTGGAGTGGTGGCTGCCGGTTGTGGAGTTTTAGTGAAAGTCACGGGCTCGTTCACTCGATTGAATTTGTCGTTTAACGAAGCCTTTTAAATACTTCCGCTTGCGTGGCTAATTGTTTTGTTTGAAATCCAAAACCCCCAAGGCTTTCAACCTACACGCCAAAGACACGAGAAAAACGCAGAAAATCTACAAAAACAAACTAAAAACAAAGAGAAGGTTAAAATAAAGAAAACACGAAATAAATTATAAAACGAACTGAAAACTAATAAAAGGACCTAATATGGGGAGAAAATAAGAGAAAAATAATAAGAAAAAAATGCAACAAAAATGGGACAAACAAAACCGACTTCATGTACTAAAAACCGACATCAAATTTCTTCAACTAAGAACCCATTTTCTGATCTTTTTATGGTTTGAATCTATATAAAATTAGTTGTTAAATTTCGCATATCGACGATGTGAAATTTAGGTATCGTCTGATAATTTTTAAGAAATAGTTTAGACAGTAAAGCTATTGTTAAAAAACCATACTTTTCAATTAAAATTCATTGAATGAATGACTGAAAAGTCAATTTTACCCTTAGAAATTCTCGATGATGACCGAAAATTGTTTAAGTGTAATTTTTTGCGAAATTATTTGGGCAAAGTGTCACGAAAAAAAGTTGAGTGAGTAAAAGTGCAGAAAAAAAATATAGTTAAGTGGGTTAAGAGCATCTACAATGCATTGAGTCTAATCTTTCCTATGTGCCATATAAATAAACCTAAATTTTAGATGACAGAGATAAAACTATGTAAAATTAACATAATCCACTTCAATGGAAAGATACTATGTCTCTACTTGGTCTAAAATAGACGTAAGAATAAACCATGTTTCTTTTTCGAGCTATCACATCAACATGAATCAATCAAGTTTTATTTGCATTGAATAATATATTTTTTTAGACTTAGACATATATTTTTTGTGATTGAACCAATATTGTGGATGTTCTATTAATTTATTATATCCAATGGCTCTCTAACACGTCACCTACTTTGTAGCTTGATAGCCTTGATTGGTGTGCTAGCCGGTATGTAGTTGACACTTCACAGTCCACTACTCCAGTAAGTATATCCATCTCAAGGAGCACCACCAATCAACGGTTGGTATTCTCTCATAAAATGAACAGATCTTATCCGTTCAAAAGAGCGGGAAAAAACAACAGACGAACGAACCAGATCAAGCCAAACCCTAAAAGCAGCTTGTGTAAGAAGATAAATAACCACAAAACAATAGAGAGAAGGTGAAGCAACGCCATAACTCGAAATAAACACAGCGAGGATAAAAAAGGTGAAGAAAAATGGCACCAAAAAGGAAACCAACGGACTCCTCAAACTCCTCCGCCGCCGCCGCCGCCGCCAGTGTTACCCGGCGCTCCCCCCGCCTGGCGAACATCACGGCCTCGCCGCCTGCAGCGGAGCCTAAGCCGCTCCAGATTAAGAAAGCCAAAATCAAACCCGCCCCCGTTCCTGCCGCGGAGGAAGAAGGTGGTGCAGCCAAGTCCCCTCCGTCTCCGGCGAAAGAAGATCCTGAGCCGGAGTCTGCCGACAGCTCGAAAACCATCATCATCGAGCACTGCAAACAGTGCAACTCCTTCAAGACGAGGGCTATTCAGGTCAAGGTTGAGCTGGAGAAGGAGGTCAGCGGGGTCAAGGTGGTGGTCAACCCGGAGAAGCCCAGGAGGGGCTGCTTCGAGATTCGCGAGAAAGGTGGGGACATTTTCGTCAGTTTGCTGGATATGAAGAGGCCCTTCAAGCCAATGAAGGATTTGGACATGGGGAAGGTCATCTCTGACATTGTTGAAAAGATCAGATGATTGATGGTAGTGATGGTGCTGAGTACTGTGTTTTGAATCTGGGTTTTGTTTTTTTTGCAAGTTTTAAGGAATGGGCACTCGTTTTGGTAACTGTTTTAAGGATTGGTAATGGTCTATTAGGGTTGTCATTTTGTTGTTAATCTTGGCTGTTTTTTCTTGTTTCTTTGTCTTTCCATTTGGTTGTGGTGAATGTGGCTGTGTGTTGCCTTTGGTTCCAAGATAATGCTATTTCTGACCAGTGCTTGTTTCTTGAATGTGTGTGATTTGATTGACTGCAAGTGGTTTTAGCATCAAACTATAATGTTTGTTCATGTGAAATCGAGAAAAGTTTTGTCGATTTTGCTATCTTCATATACGCAAACAGTTTTACAAATTACGATATTCCTTTACAAGTAAATCTTGCCAAGGTAGGAGGAATTTTTTTGTATCATTTAGCCAATGTAAGCAGAGCAATTCACTGCTCAAATTTTATCATGTCTAAACATTGCTTACAATAACATGCTTGTAAGAAAATCTCATTTTTTTTTTTTCTCAAGTTAAAAATGACATTAGCCGCTTTTGAAACCAGCATATAGAAAGTGATTATCAACTTTTTTTTTTACCCAAACGAAGGAAATGCTCATTAAAAACAAAACAGAGTACTTAAACATCCAATACAGATGAACAGTCAAAAATTGAGAGCACCACACCCAAGTAGCTTAGAACATACAATCAAAACCAAGGTGAGAAGAAAATCACACACCTACCAACTGAAGCCTTTACCCATTCGACCAAACAAGAACTCGATGCAAAAACAAAGAAAATAAACTAAATCTAAGAGACCTGACACTTTCTACTCTCAAAATGCATTTCACTCTGGACTGTTGCTTTGATGATTAGATGCGCATGTCTTCATATCTTCTCAAATAGCCAAAGGTTGCGAGACTCCCAGAGCCACAAAAGGATGTATGTTGAAAGATAGATTCTGGCTTCAGAAGTCTCACTCCTATCCATTTGGCAAATCTGTCACCACCAAGATTTAAAAGATTCCACTCCTTGAGGCCCTACCGAATTCACTGGTGCCAATTTCCAAACCTTTTTAGCTTGCCTGCAATGAAAGAATACATGTTCTATTGATTCCCCGGCCTCACCACATAGTCTAGTATCAACTTCAATCATTTTTGCCTTCATGTTCAGACTAACACGTAGAGAGCCATTGCAACACTTCAAAACAAAAGTGTTTGACATCGCCCATTACCTTAAGCTTCCAACTTCTAGCTCTGACTTCGATATCTGCAGCTAAATCCTTGTTTCCTTGGGCCTGGTCCATTTTACGAAATTTGTCTGTTATGAGGTGTGAATAAGGAGAATGAACAGAGAACAAGCCTTTTTTGTGCAAAGACCAAGTCCATCTATCATCTTGGTTTGGATCAATAGAGTCAATGCTCATCTCTCATCCCAACTGCAACCATCACTTGTCATCTAAATCTCTAACCCACTCAATCCTTTTGTCCACTCTAGGCATTAACTCCACTGTTCTTCCTACCAATTTCAGTATCCAATGTTGATCTCAAACCTTAGTATTTTTGCCACTGCTCACTTCAATATGCATCTAGTTACCACATACCTTCAACACTGAGAGCCAGCTACTCCACAACCATGAAGAGTTTTGTTTTCCCTAAGATTCACACAAGATTGAGTTAGAAAAGTGTTTTGTTTTCAGTACCCTACTTACTAGCCTCTCAGGTTCAGAAACCACCCTCCACAGTTGTTTAGCAATAAAGGCTGCATTGAACGACTGAATGTTCTTGAATCCCAGCCCCACATGTTTCTTTGCCAAGGTCAACTTACTCCAAGCCATCCAATGCAAACCTTTCTAGAAATCAGATGTTTTACTCCACCAGAACTACCCACAAACCTTTAAGATTTTTTTGGACAAACCAATAGGTAGAACAAAGCAGAACATAACAAATACAAATAAAGCATTTAGAGCAACTCTTATCAACACCTCCTTACCATTAATGGATAGCCACTTATTCTTCCAACTGAGAATTTTGTTCTTCACCATAATCAAGATATAATCAAAGGCGTCTCTCTTAGACTTCCCAATACTCAGGGGAAGCCCCAAATACCCAGTTGAAGAGTGGACCTTAATAATTCCAACAAGGAGCAACATCTATCATGCACCTCCCCATAAGTATTCTTGCTAAAGAAAATGTTGATTTAACCAGACTGATTTGTTGTCCAGTAAAGCTCTTATAAGCTTAAAGTATACTAAGAACTTTCATGGCTTGATTTTCCTCAGTTCTGCAGAACATTAGTGTGTCATCAACAAACATAAGGTGAGTCAATAAAGGCCCACCCCTTGACACCCTAAGTCCTTTGAAACTTCCTCTATAAGCATCCTCAGTAATTTTAGCAGATAGCAGTTCAGAAATAATGTTGAATAGATAAGGAGATAAGGATCCCTTTGTCTAATTCATTTGGAAGCAGTCACTGCCACAAGATTTACAATTTATATTGAAAGAGAAAGAAAGAATTTGGATGCAGGCCATAATACACTTAACAAACTGAACATAAAATCCATTCTTAGCATAGTCAATTGGATATATTTCTACTCCAAACTACCATAAGCTTTCACAATGTCCAACTTCAAAGACATAAAATAGTTCTTACCATTTTTATGCCTCAGAAAATGGAACACTTCATGAACAATAACCACATTATCCAGCAGTTGTCTACCAGGCAGAAAGGCAGTTTGATTCTCAGATATGCATACATTAAACATTGTCTCATCTCACGACTAGAATCTTATAAATCACGTTATAGAACACAACACACAAGCTTATGGGTCTAAATTGACTAATCGAAATAGGATTAATACATTTTGGAACAAGAGTAATCAAAGTGTATTTCTAGAACCTCAACATTTATCCTAAATAAAAAAAAAAAAAACTTATCACTGCAGTTTAAATATCCTTGTTGATGATTGACCAAAAGTGCTGCTAGAAAAGCCCTGTCATGCCATCCTTCCCTTGAGCTTTCTCATGATGAATACTGAACATAACTTTTTTATATCAGCTTCATCAACAAGAGCAATCAGGATGTTGTATATCATCTGTAACCGATTTGGTAATTAGAGGTAATAGTTCATGACATTTCTTAACCCTAAGATGTGAATAACTTTCCATAGTAATAAGTGATGGTCTTCTCAATCTTCACCTAATTCTCACTTAGTTTGTTCCCCTTAGTCAACAATCTATCAATAGAACTCATCTTCCTTCTTTGGACTGTACAAGTAAGCAAAAACTTTGAGTTCATTTCCCCTTCTTTATGCCACAAAGCTCTTGCCTTTTGTTGCAAGTATATTTCCTCAGAACAATTGGCCTCTCTAGTTCCTTTTGAATTTATCTCAAACCTCCCAGTTTCTATCCCGCTTTCCTGTCTCATCTCCTGTAATTTCAATAAACTCAGACATAAAGTATTACTCCAGATAAGAAGGTTTTTTTTTTTTTAATCTTCTCTTTAACTACAAACATAAGAGTACCTACTGTGGGTATCTCCCAAGCTTTTTGAACCACATATTCACCCCTTCATTCATGCCCCACCTCTTATCACATTGAAATATTCTTTTTTGCCCGATGGGACCAACATTAGAATCAATAACTAACATACAGAGGTCAAATGCACTCTAGAGAAACTTTACTGTCCACTCCAGAGAAACTTTATTGTCCACTCCAGAGAAACAGACACTCTATCAAGTAGTTCCTCCACAAACCTTTCTACATCTCTATTATTTGCCAAAGTATACTGAAGCCCTCTTCAGGGAATTTCCTGCACTCCCATCCGAGCCAAAGAATTATCAAAACCCAATAAGCTCCCTGATGGTCTGCAGCTCACACCCTTCTTATCCTCAGCCTTACACAAATCATTCCAATCTCTAGCTAAAAAATCAGACATCCCCCCAAACTAGCTCTTTCTTGCAGAAGACAATCCCATTGCACTGCTCTCTCAACTTTGCAGGTGTTGAGATAAACAAGAATAGCCCAACAAAGAACATCCTGATGCATCTCCTTAAACTGCACAACTATGAAAAAAGACTTACTAGATATCTTTAGCCCTCTACATTAGAATTCCAAAGCAACAGAAGCCCACCACTCGTACCTCTTCGCTCAACTACAAAGTGCCTATATCCACAAAACCCAACTTGGTGCAATTTTTTTTGGAAACTTTTTTGATTTTTTAACTTAAAAAATAAAGGCGAAGACAAGGTGATGGATCTTCAAGGATTCATTGATCTGGGAAACCGTAGTGAGCCCACCCAAACCACTACAGTTCCACACCAGAGCCTTCATTGATACTCTGACGGCTCATCAAGGCTGGCCCTCCCCACCTGACTCAGATTTACTTTAGGTTTCTTCTCAAACTTTTCCAAATGAATACCTCTCTGAATGACAAGATCCACTTGAGAACAGCATCCAACTCCCCCGCACGAAAAATGGGCCCTGACACAAAATTGGGGTCGAGCCGCACTGCCAAGAACTTGCCACCATCAAAGAGCTCGGTGGCCCTGCTGGAGATGACGAGCCAAAAAATATAAATAAATTAGGTTTAGAAACAAAGAGATTGGGAAAAATTCGGAGAGAAAATATTACTCCCTCTTATTTTTTAATGTCATTCTAGTTTTTTCAACTATTTGCCAAATAAATGTCATTTTAAATATTTTGTACATATTTTTTCCATTATTACTCTCATTTAGCCAATAAATACATTATGTCTTTTCATATTTACTCTTCACTTTTTCTCAAAACATTTATCTCTATTTTTATTAAATAAGGTTATTATTGATAAAAAAAATATTCTTAATTAGTGTGTAACTTTTGACATATATTAAAAGTAGGAGGTAGTATGTGTTTGAACCAGTTTTTCTCCACTTTACTAATCAAATTTCCACTTTGCTGCACATTAAATGAAAAAACCCTAAACCCTACGAAAATCTTTCCACCATTTCTCAAATGCATCTTTCCTCCATCTTTCTCCGCGAGCCTTCAAAGGCTCTGTACAACCAACTCGTCTTCCTCCGCCGAATGGGCGGCGGTCCTCGAACTTTTCCGGGCGGGCTCAACAAGTGGCAATGGAAACGCATGCACGAGAAAAAGGCACGTGAGAAAGAGAAACGCCTTCTCGACCAGGAAAAACAAGTCTACCAGGCCCGAATTCGGTCGGAAATTCGGGCCAAGCTCGCATCGACTGATAACCTCGTTCCAAGATCGATAAATCCTGATCAGAACCAGCCCAATTACGGCCCCGTAACGCCTCAAGACCATGTCAAGGCTCTTGCTGATCGGTTCATGAAGGAAGGAGCTGAGGATTTGTGGAATGAAAACGATGGTCCTTCAGGTTTTCCGGAAAATAAGCCCGGGAAAAGCCAAATTATAGGTGAGCCTATTGATTTACAGAAGTTAGTTATGGAAAAATCGATTGTTGCTCATAGTCACACAAACGACGATAGTGAGTTTCACAGAAATGTAAGTACTAATGTAGCTAAACGAAGGCATTTCTCTACATATTGTGGGAAAGGTGGTAACTTGATGGGCGGCTTACAAAATGAGTATCTTAGGTCCATTAGGCATGGCTTTGATTTAGCGGGTTGTCAGAGGCGTGGGACTCTAATGGGTGTAAGTAATATGTTTAATTTAGACTGTTACTATTCGACGAGTATAATGGGTAAACAAAGAGCGAATGTTGCAAGAAATGGCCAAAGTTCCGTAATTAATTCTGGCCGGGAAACCAAAGTGGGGTCTGATAATGGGAGAAGGGCTAAATGGCCAAGATTCCGTGGAGGTAACTTGGATTCGTCGGATGATGATTTCAGCGATGAGGATGATGACGGTGACACGTCAAATAGTAGCAGGAAGATTTTTAGTAGTAGTGCAGCATTAGGGAAACATGATATCAAGATCAAGAAACGAGTGCCTTTGAATTTTTTGGAAGATGAGGATGATTTATCTCAGCAGGTTGAGGCAATTCGGAAGGAAATTAGTCAGAGAAAGGGCGTGCATGAAGACGGAATGGAGAGGGACGAAGCTGTGTCGGTTCTTAGTACGAAAAGGTTTGTGGGATTCATTTATGTAAATTTTAGTGTATTCTTATTTGAGAGGATGGATTTGATCAGTAATGATTAAACTGCGATTGGTTGCTCTCAGGTTTGATGAGTGTGGTATATCTTCACTGACAGTCCAAGCACTTTCAGAGGCTGGTTATGTGCAAATGACCAAAGTCCAAGAGGCGACTCTTTCTGCCTACCTTGAAGGTCTGTTGTCATATTTTCCATCTATCTTTTTCTCTTTTTCTTGGTTCCTACTGATTGCTTTTATTTCCAAGACCAAAAACATTAGAGAAAAAGAAAAATCTATAGCTTCTCTAGTCAGCCGTTAACTAGTGCATGCTCTTTCGATGCAAAAGTTCATGTATTCCTTTCACCTTTCTTCTGATTGTTATGTTTAGTGTTTTAGAATTTATAATTTTGTTCTCTCTTACCATGAATTAGTAGTCATGGCATTTGTGTCTTGGATTGCTGAGTGTATGATTTTCTTTGGTCTAAGTGAATGAGGTTCTTTGATAATCTAGATTCTAGAGAGACGATGCTCTGAATTTTAAGATGACATATAGTTTAGCCATAAGAACAATACTAGAAATGAGGTTAATTTGATAAGAAATTTCCTGTATAATTAACTTTGTGATTGTTGTGCACTTTTATATGGTATCACATGGACTTAGTTACATGATCGGAGGTTGAGGGTCGTCTCAACATTTCCTTAACGATGTTTTGATCTTATCAGTAAAGGCGGCTTGTGTTACTGCACTTCATATTAATCACAGTGAGCATTTTGAGATAATTGACCTGGAATGAGTTTTAATCTTTCTGTAGGCATAAAAATATCCACGGAAAAAACAGTCATGAATGTCATTTCATTTGTGAGCTGTCACTTACATATGTACATGCAGAGTTATTAGTCTCAGAAATGTCGCAATATGTATCCACGAAGAAAAATAGATGCATTTTTTGGTCAAATAGTTAGGTTTAAGCTGCAAGAATCTCACAATCCCCTGTTTCTGTCCCTGGTAATTATTGATGCTGTTTCATGTAAAATGAAGTTACGCTTAGATTTTGGTTACTCATTTTTTTCTTCAATCCCAGCAGTTACAGATGAGGAATAAATAATTGATACATTGGTGTGACACCTAGATCATTGTCCCCTGATTAGTCTATTTCATTGTCCCTCTTCCTATTTCGGTGATCTTCTTCCTCTGAAACATGCTTTATTCGGTCGTTTTTTAATCCTATTTGTTTATTTTGGATAATCTTTTTTCTTAAAAAGTTTTATGTAGCAGGGCAGGATGCTTTAGTCAAAGCTAGGGCTGGCACAGGCAAGAGTATTGCTTTTTTGGTACATCTCTAAACTATTTTTCTTTTTTTTTTTCTTCTTTTATTCAACAGCATCCTTCTATTTATATTTCTCATTCTCCTGCTAAACACAAACAGATTCCCGCTATTGAAACAGTTCTGAAGGCATCATCAAGTCAAAGCAAAGCTCAGCGAGTCCCACCAATATACGTTCTCATTTTATGCCCCACTCGAGAACTTGCGAGTCAAATATGTGCAGAGGCAAATGTTCTCCTCAAGCACCATGATGGCATAGGCGTGCAGACATTAACTGGAGGGACACGATTTAAGGTTGATCAAAGGCGCCTAGAGTCAGAGCCGTCCCAGGTATGATTGTAGAAAATTGGTTTTGTGGCTTAAAAAAATAGGGATAATTACAGAAACTGCTCTCAAGGTTTGGCCAGATTATTATTTATGAGAAGACACCAGCTAAAAAAACCTTTTAGACATTATGACAAGAGTACTGGAGGTCACGTTTGTTTTTCATTCTTGCATTTTGGGTGCTGTTTTTGCCTTATTGGAGCTAACATAACTAGTTGAAGATTGACGTCATTAGATGTTTTTACTTTTTATGAGTACATCCCATTACTTACTTAAATATTACTTGTATTTTGTAATAAAAAAGCTGGGGCTACTTGTGATATTTTGAAATGTTAAGGGGTCCTGTTGTGAAGTGTGATGACAAGTTGAGGTGGCGAAATGTAAGATGAATCAGAATTCAAAAGCGGGTCTTGTAACATTCCAAGTTATTTCATTTATTTTTTACTGCTTATTAGTATTATTTTGTGGGATTTTGTTTTTGTGGTAAAACCATCAGCCTTAGGATGGTTTCTGTAACTATCCCTAAAATCGATGGGGGAGGTTTCATCCTGAGTATCATCACTCTATGTTATCTGTGTTTATAATTGAGAGTTTGATATCTGCAGATACTTGTGGCGACTCCCGGTAGATTGTTGGATCACGTTGAAAGCAAGTCTGGCATCTCAGTTCGTTTGATGGGACTCCAGATGCTCATACTCGATGAAGCAGATCGCTTGTTGGACCTAGGGTTTCGCAAGGACATGGAGAAAATAGTTGATTGTTTGCCTCGCAAGAGACATTCTTTGCTGTGTTCAGCTACAATACCAAAGGAGGTTCGAACTCTGAGCTCTTTATTTTCCCTTATTATTTTTTCGTTCAGTTTTTACAATAATAATGTGACAGGTTCCTTTACTCTTGATTGGGGAATTTTGTAATTTCAGGTACGCCGAATATCTCAGCTAGTGCTTAAAAGAGAGCATGCTTATATAGACACTGTAGGCCTAGGGTCTTTGGAAACTAATGAGAAGGTATACTTAATCATTTTATTTTTTATTATTATTTTTTTTTTTTTAAGATAGTTTAGTACAATTTCAAATATAGTGATATCTGCTTATCCTCATCATATTAGGTGAAGCAATTTTACCTTGTTGCACCCCATGAGGAGCATCTTCAAATAGTGCACCACTTAATAAACAGCCATTTGTCTGAAGTGGTGGAATACAAGGTTAGTTGCTGTGGGTTTTTTTGTCAATACAAATGATGTGGAGAATTGTTTGTTGTTTCTTTTATATACTTTCGGTTTGTTGTTACGCTTCTCAGGTTATTGTTTTCTGTGCCACGGCGATGATGACGTCGCTCGTGTGTTCCCTTTTACGGGAAATGAAACTGAATGTTAGAGAGATCCATTCGAAAAAGTCTCCACTGTATTGCACAAGGATCTCCAACGAGTTTAAGGAATCCAAACGATTGATTCTGGTCACGTCCGATGTTTCAGCTCGAGGGATTAACTATCCCGATGTTACATTAGTGATTCAGGTCAAATGATTGATAACTCTCTCCCTTTCTCTTCCTACCTTTAGGATCTTATTCTTAAAAGAGTGAAATTTTTTAGGTATGCTCAACGGTTGAAGTTTGATCTAATTAAAGAAAACATCCACACGAATTGGAAAAAAAAAAAAAAAGAACACTTGATGTATGATTTTATATTGGACTTTACTCCCTTCACTAGCAAGAATATTTCAAACACCCCCCTCCCATTAGTAAAACAGTAACCCAATTATACTTCAGACAGAACAAAACACTTCATTATTATTATTTTTTTTATTTATTTTGTTTGCCATGTTAATAATTGGTTTGTAATTAGCTCATCTTTAGGTGATTTGTTGTTTCATTTTTCATTTTTTTGTTTTTTTAATTCCTATGGCCCCATTTTTTAATCTTCTAAGGGAATATACGATGACCTTGTTTACTTTGGTGTAGCGATTTTCATTATGTACGTGCATTTATTACCAGATTAAGTTCTCAATCTTTTTTACTGCATAACCATTATGAAACTCGATGAGGATTTTTGTACCTTCAGGTGGGTATCCCAATGGATCGTGGGCAGTATATCCATAGGCTCGGAAGAACTGGCAGACAAGGCAAAGAAGGTGAAGGTCTTCTATTGCTTGCACCATGGGAACAATATTTCCTTGACGACATAAAGGACCTTCCCCTTGAAAAATTCACGTCCCCAGAAATAGATCCTAATGCAAAAGCAAAGGTAAAACAATGAAATCTCTTCTCGACGATTGGTCTTAAATTATTTTCCGGTAAGTACATTTGTAGTTTTCAGACAAGACCATCAGTAATATAACGTATAAAACATATAAGTTGATGACAATTATCGATTAGGTTAGTAGACTCATGCAAAGAGTCATTTTAAAATACTCCCAAGAACCAAAAAACAATTAAAAAAAAAAGAATTGCAATTCATCTTTGCTAAAGCATCCTATTTGATTTGTTTCGACACGAATGTAGATTGAAGAGTCACTGGAGAAAATCGACACTAGCGTCAAGGAGGCAGCTTATCATGCTTGGCTCGGTTACTATAACTCAATAAGTGCCATCGGTAGAGACAAGACGACACTTGCCGAACTCGCCAAACAATTTTCAGCTTCAATCGGTTTACAAAAGCCACCTGCTCTGTACCGGAAAACTGCACTGAAGATGGGATTGAAAGGTATCCCGGGCATTCTAATACGAAAGTAGCATTATTTTTTAATTCTCTAAGACCTAACCCGACGTATATAATGTCCGAAAATTTCCATTTTTACGTACGAAGGAAATCACTTAGGGTGGACTTGTTTCTACGTCGCGTTTTGTTTCGACAAAACTGCAACGGGTTAGAATTTTGATAGTGTGACCGTAATATATTTTCAGGTCTAATGAAATTCCATTTATTTACTTTTATAGCATATTAATCTTTATAATTACCAAAAAGACCAGATATTCATCAGTATTCATAAGTACCCGTCAATATTCATCAATAAGTATTCATAATTTTGATACATGTGAACACATGTAATATATGAATGTTGAATTAAAGAAAAGAAAAATATGCAAGTTTAAAAAAAAAATACTTTTGAATATACTTTGAATAAAATGTATTTTTAAAAATTTTCTCTCAAGACAAACAACCAATTAATGGCTCAGTTGTTTATAATAATAGTATTGAAATTGAGATTACTGAAATATGGGGTTATGATCTGAAAATAGCTCTTAGTTTGGGACTGGATGCACAATTTACTCTTTGAAATATTTATTATATTTCAAAATGTATATTATTATTTATATTATATAAAATATTATTATTTATATGTATAATAATACTCATTTATTGAATGAGCCGCAATTATATGAAATTAATTTAATCGATGCATAATAATTTTATTATTTTTCAAATGAGATTGATAGGTATACTTGATTTTATATATGTAATATACATGTCGAATTGAAAACTGTCAAGAAATGACTAATTTTACACGTCATATATAAAAACTGATAATAAATAAATGTCATATATAGAAACTGATAATAAATAATAAAACTAGAATAGTTTTAAAATACAATTGTAATTTAAGTTAATAAATTATTTGAGATTATAAAAGGCAATCTACATGAAAAATAAATAAATAAATTTGCACCAATTATTCTGAACTACAAAGTTTATAAATACAAAATAGGACACTGAAGCGCTATAGGATAATAGAAAACTATTAAGTACCCAAATTGTATTACCACACCTCAAAAGTATAAACTGGTAATTAAAGGATTACACTTGACAACATTTCCTAGCCTAGAATAAAAAGAAAATCAAAAGGGAAAAAAACAACAAGTGTTCCCTTTCACGACCCATCACGGCCAAAGAAACAACCCCCACGAAACACTCGCATTTGTGAGACTAAAAAAATTCCACAAGAGAGACAAAAATACTCCATAGAGTGAGATGACAACAAGCACACTCCGAAAGGGAGAGAAACCAGAAGCACACAAAAACACCACACAACACTAACCAAAACAAACATAAAATATAAACTAAAAACAGACAAAAGCCCCTTCCCACAGACAGTAAAGACATACAAAACAAACCACGACAACGGACAGAAGGCCGACCACCTATACGGTTCGGATCTCCCTAGTCTTAAATCCAGAAACTACCACGAAAAGCTAATTGAAGCCTACACCCACAAACTGGACTCAGTGCTCAAGCAACCGACCTCACCCCTTAGCCGGAGAAAATCGACCAAACCCCCACCACACCACCGTCATCCCAAGCCCAGCACAAACCAAGGTCACACCCGTCATGCCGACCATTCCCTCGCCCACGCACCAGGGGCAAAAAGGACAAGGGGGAGAACCCACTCTCCTCATCCCCTACCACCCCAACAAGCCGTCGGAGCCACGACCAACTCCACAGGAAGACCAACACCTTCCCCCGCCACGTCACCCTATAGATTCTGGCCCAAAAAATCAATCTGGGAAATCGCCCTATAAAACATCGTAACATCAACTAGAGTTAAGTCTTTTGGCCCAATAAATGATATTGAGCCCACGAGCTTAGCCCAATGTCTGCAACTTCACCGATCCTAATATCAAAACCGTCGTCATCTTCGTCTTCCCTTTCCCAATCACAGAGTTCCAACCCCAAATCCACCCAGAAAAATGCGTTCATGAAATTCCTTACACTTGCAGCGTCCTCTAATCCATATTTCATTTCAGGTATGTAATTTTATCTTCGAATTATACCCTAAATCTTACCATCATGAAATTTTTGAGGAATTGCACTTGTTTTAGATGGTAATATTTTTGTTCTTTTCTGTGGAAATGTAAGAATGGCTACTGTAATGGTTTTCCTTCACTACAATGGTAACTGGGAGAATAACTGCTACACAAAGTACGAGGTCGCCGGGTTAATGTTGCCTAAAGATTGCACCTTTGATGACTTGTGCGCTCTTGTTCTTGATAAACTCAAGATCAAAGCAGCAGCAGCCCCCCCACATGTTTTGGAGATGAAATACCAGGTTAAGGATGATTATCCTGCGATTCGGATCAACGACGAGTCCAGTCTGGAATTTTACATCCACCTCAAAGCTAGAGAAAGTGATATCACAAAATTCCCCATTTGCGCAACTGTTGTTGCAGCCGAACCCGAACTAGTACCCGAACCCGAACCGTCCGGTAGCACGGCCCGAATGCCCGATCCAGATTTCGGGTCGAGAGCAGAGTTGACAGATAACAGCGACACAATTGAAATTACGCCTTTCCCGAAGAATTTTCTTGCGTTTGCGCAAGGAGCTGCTTCGATGATGGCAGAAGCAGTAGCCTCGACTGCCAACGACTCGTCTTCAATCCTTCCCAACGGAGGAGCAGCCACAGAAAATGACGGTACGAATATCGAGAAAATGGCGGTGGGGACCGTATTTCAGAACAAATCCATTTTGCAGAAAAAGTTGAGTTTGCACGCGATCCATCACCGTTTTCAGTTCAAAGTCGAGAAATCTTGCCAGAAGCAGTATTACGTACGTTGCTTCGAGCCCGAGTGTGATTGGTATGTGAAGGCTTCTCGTGTAGGGAATTGCAGTTTGTTCAAAATTAGAAGCGTGGTGAACGAGCACACGTGCCCTGAAGAAAGCCGCACGAACGATCTCCGGCAAGCTACGGCAACTCTTGTGGGTGATTGCATAAAGCAGAAATTCACAAGCTTGAAGACTGCATACAGGCCCTCCGATATAATACAGGATATGCGTTCTAAGTATGGAATAGAGTTAAATTACAAGAAAGCTTGGAGATCGAGGCAGAAAGCCATGGAAGTTGTTCGTGGAAAAGTAGACGAGTCGTATGCATATGTAGACCAGTATCTGCAGAAGCTTTGCAAGTCTAATCCAGGATCGTTTGTGAAATTATGCGCGACTACAGAAGGAAATTTCAAGTATGCGTTTATGTCTTTGAATGCATCTATCAAAGGTTGGGATCATTGCCGACCAATCATTGTGATCGATGGAGTCTTTCTGAAGTCTGCTTACGGTGGAATTCTGTTAACGGCAAGTGCACAAGATGGGAACTCAGATATCCTGCCGATAGCATTTAGTGTTGTTGACTTTGAGAGCAACGAGTCCTACTTGTGGTTCTTCGTCAAGCTAAAAGATGCCATTGGAACAAGGCCTGGGTTATGCTTTGTTTCAGACGAAAATGAAGGCATAAAGAACGCTATTGAAAAGGTAACGGACATAAGTATATATTTGACTTGTCTTGTTTTGTTTCTGTTGCAACTGCAAAGAATAAGGTTGAAAGGAAGGATGTATCCATTTGGAATTTCGAGAGACGTTTTGAGACTTTATGAGATTTGAGAATTTTTGTGATTTTCAGGGTTAGGAGGAATCTTGCGAAATCTTAAGTTTCGAGGTGGGATTTGGAGTAGAATTTCGTATATGGTTTTTTTCTTTTGAAATCCCATTAAAAAATCTTAGCAAATCCTAGTCTCGAATAAGTTAAATACCTCATGATTTTGTAAGACTTTTTAAAAATCTCAAATGAATTTATCAGAGACTTTTAGAAGTCCTAACAAGTCTAAATTAAATAATGTCTGAAAAGCCTTTAGAAATCCGAACGTCTAGCATCTATATGCACTCTTCATCTTCACATTTGAAAGAAAAATAGTGTGAAAATGAATTAATTTGTTAGTTTTCTAAATTCGAAATGTGGATATTACAGGTCTACCCAGATGCTGCCCACTGTCTTAGCACGTATCACATAGCTAACAATTTGAGGTCGAAAAAGAACTCATCTGCAGTAAAAGAGTCCTTCAATGCAGCAGCACGTGCATACACAGAAAATGACTTTGATTACCATATGTCAGAACTGAAAAATATGGATCCTCGTGTGCCGACCTATCTCCGAAAAATCGGAATACATAAATGGGCACGCGTTCATTCAACTACGAACAAATACTTCACAATGACTTCAAATGTAGCCGAAAGTATAAACTCAGCCACCAGGCTCGTGAGGGATCTTCCGATTACAACTCTTCTAGAGTCTTTACGTGCATTGCAACAAGAATGGAATGTGAAAAACCGCGATGAAGCGAAAAGCATGTCCACCACACTCACAAAGAGGGCTAGCGCGATGCTTGAAGCGAACTACAAAATTGATGTACATCTAACTGTGAGTGCATTATAACTAATACCCGATTTACTACTATTTGGTCATTACTAATGCGAAGGTCTGGTTATTTTATTTTTTTGAAATAAACAGTTCCAAAGAGCAAGTGATGAAGTATACAGGGTGTCGACTGGAGCAGAAGTTTTTGTAGTGAATCTTGCGTTAAAGAGTTGTACGTGCAACCGCTTTCAAATGGATGAACTGCCATGTCCACATGCTCTTAAAGTCATCGCGAGTCGAAATTTGGATCCTTTGGCATATTGCTCGAATTATTACCGAACGTCAGTGTTGGTATCGACATACGCAACACCCGTTTTTCCAGTAGACAGCAGCACATCGTTCACCAATATAAGCAGCAGTACAAGCACAATCATCAAGCCACCGTTTGGAAGGTGATCTAACCCAAGAAAAATATATTGTTGAGTGGCATAGTAACTTAAGCAGTAGATCAGAAGTAGACAGGTATAGTTTAACTAGTTTTGTTATCTGCATTGTGATTAAGTTTTAAAGACGGGTGCAATATTAATGGTACACTGACTAGTAGTGTTGTC